TAACAATTTTATCCACAAAAAATTGAAGAAACTCATTACAAGTAGCGGAGGACACATCCGTCCAAGCAGCAGTAGATGGATATAAGACCGCATTTATGGTGCTGAACAACACCCTGGGTCTATGACAATTGTTTACAATAAGCCAGGAAAAGTATTGAGCTCTAGCATGTTTGACAGCACTTTGATAATCTCTTAATCGGTTTTTTAAAATATCCAGCGAAATGTGAAGACGATCTTTTTTCCACTTCCGCTCTGCCCGCCTACAAACCAGTTTAAGTGAATGGGTGTTTTCATTTAGCCAAGGTTCAGACTTAAGCCTCACCACCACCCCTCCTCTCTTTCCCCGTTTCCGACCCTTCCTTCGTGGTAAGCCGCAGGGAGAACGGTACAGATACGGTGGAACAGCTGCCAGAAATGGAGGAAAGCTCTTTGATGGCTTTCCCGGCTCGAAAACGAGCAACTTCTCCATTGAGGCCCTGATACTAATAAGGGTAAGGCGATCATATACCAGGGCAGACGAGGTGTTATGAAAACAGTGTAACAAACATATTAAAACAAACCACAAACACCACAGCCGCAGACGGCCAGCCACATACACCGGCGCCATCTTAGGACAAAAAAAAAAAAAATCAATCAAACCTAATGGTTGATAAATCAAATAAATCAAACCTAATGGTTGAATTCTGTTTAGTTACTTCTGTCCTGGTGTTGTTCATGCTGGCTCATTGTCAGAATGTCATATTTTATTGGGACATTTTAATAGAATAGAACTATTATTTATGTTATTAGTAATACCTGTGCTTGTCCTATTATGACAAGTCTAAATAAATTCTGTTGCAAAGACCTCACAATCAAGATTAGATGGCATTTACCTAGCTGCTGATTATTTTCCAAAGCATACCCTTGCAGGTTGGTGTATGAATTCCTTACTACTTACACTTAGTTATTAAATAAACACTATTTAACACTTATTGTCAAACAATGAATATAAAAGGTCTTGTATTTTAATTTTTACTGTGATGACTGGAAATCTTTACCAAACTTCTGCAACTGATTTTAAATGGTACTAAAATGAATGAACACAACAGTTTCATTGATTTAACACTTGAGGTTTGTTGAGGGAAAATTGAAAGTAATGTGAGGGCTTTGGTTTTGTGCTTAAATTGTCATACTGATGAGCCACAGTGTTTAATAAAGCTTTTACCCTCAAACAGTTTTAATGCTAGTTACAAGTCTTAACACAAATTGTCACTCATTTATCCATAAATCATCTTCTGATGTCACCACACAGATGCTGTTCACTTTGCAAGACTTCCTCACTAATTTAGTATAAAATGCCTCAGATTAATATAAATGCTATATGAGTAATATTTCTGAGGGTGGGCATTGCTTATAAGTTACTTACTCATGTTGCTCTGCTGATTCATGTATATGTTGCAATGACTGCTTTATCCACCCAGTCCAACCATGTGATTTGTTGCTGTGTGTCTCACTCAGGGACGAAACTTGACTGCCAGTCAAATAGGGTGGTTCCCGTGCCAAAAGGTTCAGCCCTACATCACTGTGAGTAAGAACCCTCGCTGTTCGCCAAACTGAAAATGCCATAAAAACTTGTGACAAGAAACACACAAACAAGAGACATGTACAGTATGTTCAGTGTGTTCAGTGTAGTTCATTCTTTTCTGTCCACTTGCACCAGCTGGCTGCCATTTGCTATACTGAAACCAACACATTAGGAAGTGAAGAACAGTTACCACCATGACCACAGACTTTCACAAAGTTTTCTAACCTCTGTGTGATCTCACCTTTCCCAGAGACCAGCACCCGACTTTTCTGGCTTCAGCTGGTGAGTATTAACAGGAACTAGTTTAAATCACTTCCTGACCAAACAACTGACTGCATAGCTTTATTTCTTCCTGTAATGCGGTGCACTCACAGAGACTCACTAAAGAGTTGACAAGAAAAAGCACTACTTTATAGCCACAAAAACAGAACCAGACACTGAAAGACATTGGTGGACTTAGGATGTGGTGTATCACTGTGACTCTTACAGGATCTGCAGTAGTTCCTCTCACGATTTTTGCAAATAACCTTTACAACCTGTTCTCTGTCACTGAGTTCATACATAATAAAGGCCCCAGCAGTCACATAATATTTCTAAACACAAAGCCACTCTTGTAACATTTTAAAGTCCCCTTATTTAGCATTTAAAATCTGTATGTAATGACTTGTAAGTGTAAGTGTTTGTTGAGGTATTTGTCACTAACTGTAACTGCTTCTGAGGCTGCAGGCAATGAATGAATAATAATATAGTAAAACAGCTGTAATACAATTCTATTTGTCTTTATTAAAACAAGAAGAAATAATTGCTGACAAAAACTGTACATTAATAAACACTAAAATGACCTTGTAACTACATGTAAATACATTATATTGTGTTCAATAATTGTCTATACACTCCTTGTGCTAAATAACTACTGTGTACCTTGAATATCGCTGTTTCCTCTTTCAAAAATGAGCTCACCTTGCAAAGCAGATAATAACATGATTCTCACTGTGATTCAAGGTTTGCAGGGAACATGGACAGAACGGCGGCCAAAAACCTGTTAATATCCCGATCTGATGGAACCTTTCTGGTGCGGCAGAAAGATGGAGGAGAGTTTGCTATCAGCATCAAGTAAGTCTCACAACTCATCAATAAAAGCACTGTTTGATTTTTGGTATAATTGTTTCTACATACCCAGAATTGGATAAATGTTTAATATCTTATTGTAAGTTCTTGCGGTTTCCCTCACAGTAAACACTGATTTGATGATTTGCAGGTCAAAGATGTGCAGAGGCTAAAACTGGACTAGATGTAGTGATAAAATGACACTTTTATTTAGATTCCCTGGTTAAATATAATATTAAAAGTAGGTAGATGCTGAAATAGCAATGGTTGTATGTAACTGTGATTGATCAATTAGAAATTTCAGCAACTATTTTAATAGCTGATGGATCATTTAAATCATCTTCAACCAAAAATGCCCCAAATTCTCTGGTTCCAGGTTCTGATGGATATTTTCTTTGGGTTTTATACTATTGATTAGACAAAACAAGCTATTTGAAAACATTCACTTGGTCTCTGAGAAATTGTTATGGAGATTTTTTATTTTATTTTATTTTATTTTATTTTTTTTTACAATTTTCTGACATTTTATAGACCAAAGGATCAACCAATTGATCCAGAATAGAATTAGTAATAATGAAAACATCAGTTGCACATCTTATATACTTATATAGATGTCTGAAAAGCTTTTGCTTTCTAACTAAATGAAGCCTAATAACCTACACATCCAGATCTCTTTTATGCTATGTTAAATGATGAGCTCAGGCTAGTTTCAATAAATTGCTGAGTATCTTTGAACTAGTTTCACTTCCACTCATAAGCAGGGAAACAACTTTTCCAACAAAAGATTAGTATGTCTGTTTTCCGTCTTTTGGAAAGAGCTGCTGAATCATTCGGGCTTAAAACTGAACAAGGCTAAATTCACCATTTAGCCTCATTGTGAGTTGTATGAGTCTAAAATTTCCAAAACACTGAACTGATTCTGGATTAGCATTGATTGGATTTGTGTAATTATGTGTGTGTGTGTTGATATCTTCTGTTTCTACATGTTTGAAAGAATAAATCAAATCAAATCAAATCAAATCAACTTTCACTACTTCAGCCTTATTCATCTCGAAGCAGTATTATCTCACTCATTGATGTCATCACACCAGCATTCATCTTTCATATCCAAATGTTTCCTCTCCCCCAGGTTCAACATGGACATCCGACACATTAAGATCACATCTAGTGAAGGCTTGTATCGCATCAATGAGAAGAAAGCATTCAAAGGTTTAACTGTAAGTTTGACACCCTCATCCAACTGAAACCTGATTACACCGACCACAGGAAACGTGCTTAAACTATTTCTTGCATTGGTGCATGTGTGAATGACCTAACCTCTCAAGCCACATTCATCATCTGTCATACTTTTCTCACGCTCACCTTCTCTTCCTATTGCTGTTCTTTCTTTGTTAGGAGATGATTCAGTTTTACCAGAAGAACTCTTTGAAGGAGTACTTCAAAGATGTGGACACCACTCTGCATACCCCCTACAAACAACCTGAGCAAAGCAACTCGTCTAACAATACACTGAATGCCACACCAGGTACAGTGCATCTGTCACATCACACCACCCTGATGATGATCGTGTTAAAGGAGTAATTTGACATGTTGGGAAATACATTTATTTGTGTTTCCACAATCATATCTGTGTGTTAAATAGGAAGCTACAGACAGAAGAGTGTGAAACACTTTCCCCCTGTTCCCCAGTAATTTGTCTGTCCAAAAACTGAACAAGACTCAGAGTCTACAGCCATACTAGCTGTTCTTAGGCCCAGTGGTGCTTTGAGGTAAATACTAACATCAGCATCACCTAAAAATCCTTCCACCAGCATTTTTAAAACTGGAAAATAATATGTTATAGCTAGTCAGTTTAATCCGTCTAAAACAGAAGTCTGAAAATGACAAGTTATGGTTTTACATGTGGTTATGAAGATTTTTTTTTTTTTTTTTTGGACAGAACCACACTAGCAGTTCCCCCTGTTTATGCTAAGCTGCCTCTCCTGGCTGCAGCTTGATGCTTAACAGGTTGCTCTCAGCAAGAAACTGAATAAGACAAAATGTCAAGACTGTTATTTTTAAACTTATCCATGCTGCAATGTGGGTTCTGTCTCACAGGGGGCAGCTTGAAGGGTTTTGGTGTAGCGAGGGCCAGATATGACTTCTCAGCCAGAGACCGCACAGAGCTGTCGCTGCGGGAAGGAGATACCATCAAGATCCTCTCCAAGAAAGGTCAAAGCGGTTGGTGGAAAGGAGAGGTGTACGGCCGGGTGAGAGTTAGCAAACATCAAAAAACACACTAAAAATGACAGCTTTTGAGGCTTCTTGTCTTACCTGTACTGGTTCTGTGTTTCCAGGTGGGGTTATTTCCAGCAAACTATGTGGAGGAGGACTACTCAGACTACTGCTGACATAACTCCAGAGATGTGTAGGTCCATATTTTGTCTGTAGGGGTCTATGTGATTCCTGGTTTCCTTCGATTGCATTAACCCATATGCACGAACGTGTGAGCGTGTGCGTGTGAGAGAGATGGTGTTGGTTGTGATCTAATGACTGTCTAGGGATGTGAATAAAACTTTTGTTCAGCTAACCTGACGGTGTCTTATGTACATACCACTAACTTGGAACAAAGTGTACATTTACACCCAGTGGTGTATGACTGCTGAACGCCTTATTTCAAAACCACAAACATTGTACTACTTCTGTAACAATCGCCTCTTGTCTGGAGGGTTTTTCACAAGATTTTGTAACCTGGGATTTGCTCCCATTGAGCCACGACAGCATTAATGAGGTTGAGAACTGATGTTGGACAGTAAGACCAGGCTCACAGTCAGCATTCCAGTTTATCCCAAAGGTGTTTGATGGTGCTGTAGTCAGGGTTCTCTGTGTCGATTTCATCACCAAACTGTGAAAACAATTTCCTTATGGACCTCACGTTGTACATGAGGGCACTGTCGAGTTAAAACTTGTAACAGCTTTTCCCAAATTGCTGCCACAAAGTTGCCAACCCACTACTAAGTATGATTCTGTGCTCTAACATTAAGATTTCCATTAACCCTGTAAAGCCTGACACATCAAAAAATAGCCAGAACATTCTAATGTTTTGGAACTGAGATGTTTATTAAACCTTTTAACAAAATCCAAAAGAAAATTCAAGATTTTTATTTGCCAATTATGCATAGACAGTCTAGGCGTATGGGAATAAATGTGCCATATTTTGTTTATTTTTGTATCACATTTGATACATGAGGCATTTTTGGCAATTTTTTTTTTGGCTCAGAAACTCGCATAGCAAATATGATACAAATGGTTTTATAGGATTAAATGGAACTAGGGTGTCTGGACCAAATCACTGAAAAAGAGCCCACACAAAACTGTGAATATACAAAACCTCTACTTTGTTAAAAGTATCAGTACCACAATGTGAAACTACTCCATCACAATATGTTACTTAAGAAATGTCACTTTTCAGTGATTATAAGATATATACATTATTAAATTGGTAAATTTACTCAATATGTATGCAGAACTTCAATGTTGTAGCTGGTTTAGGAGGTGCTTTCTCACAGCTTTATAAAGTACATTGTTGGGTAGTTTTTTCTACAAAAATATTCTCAATTGCCAGTTTAATTCAGTACAGTCGAATACAACAATCCTGCAATAAGCTGAAGGTTATGTTTAGATTTTGCTGAAACTGTTTTGGAGAGGTGTTAATTTAACTTTATGGTCACTGTAGAGGCTGCAGTTTGTGGCCAAACTGTACTGAGTTATGCTGAAAGGTATTTCGATTGTATGTCAATATATCAATGAGGGTAGGGTAAGCTAAACAAAAACTATAATACCACACAGCATTACAATAAAATCTTTATGAAGTGAGAATTTTTTTTACATAACATTTTATCAAGGTGTTCCTAATAAATTAGCAACTGAGCATACATTAATAAACTGATCAGATACACTGCATGCATGAAAAATCTGACCAGTAAAGTAAACCAGTACAGTAATGGGCCAAACAATATTTCCCTCTAAAATGTGAGTTACAGTATAAAGTAACAAAAATTGTAATACTGAAGTATCTCAAATTTATACTTGAGTAAATCTAGCTAGGAACATTCTACAACCAAGACCAACGTAGCAAAGGACAAACGTGTCCATATTCTTTTAGCCCATAAGTATATTTGGGGCAACTGAAATGGTTGTTTGCAACGGTAACCTAGCAGTCACTTCCGGAAGGAGAACACAGCTATGACCAGGACACAGTCTTTTGAGTATGTAAATATCTGCTTTACTTCCAAAATATCAAAACAAAAATAATTGTAGAACAATAACATATGTTTCACATAATGATTTGTGGGCAAAAATTAAAAGCTAAAACTGAGATCAATGTCTGTCTTGCGCTCATCCATTTCAGATGTATGATCATGGTGGTTTTCTGCAAGATTCCATCCATTTTGTGTGTGTATATAACAAGTAAGAGCGTTGCCTGCATGGCCGTGACTTGTGGTCTTTCTCCAGTCTACTGGTAGTACAGCTCCAGGTTCATCCCATCATGGATTTCATCTGCAGAAGTCTTGGTTAAGTACAACAGATGAGGATAGAACAGTTGTGGAATCTGTTTGGTACAAGTTTACTGCTATAAAAGCATCAGAAAAAATCTCCTGTTTTCATTTGAGAAAAAAAAAATAGTACATTCAGAAGTATATCACAATTAATTATAAACAAGCATTGCTAAAACCCATATAATCACATAACAGTAAAAACATGTTTCAACATCAAGCAGATAGATGAATTTGTTATATTTATGGCATTGTCATCTCTTAGCACTTGGGAGAAAATGGGGCTGTCATAAACCAACTACAATTTCTGCACAGACTACTGAAATACTAAAAAAATATGGTCAAACTAAAATTTATCCTTCATTTCTTACTTCTCCAATTGCAATGTTTTTAGTTATGGTATCGGTCATAGTAGACAGGCAATTATCAGTTAATGTTGTCAACCCACAGATTCTATATCGGTGCCAATATACTTGCAGTATGTACAGCCGCCACCACCACCATCCACCTGCACAATTTAATCATTTGTGATAATGAGCTAAGGCTTACTTTTAAAGTACAAAAGATAAATATAAAACTGGTACTATCAATACCAAGCTACTAATACTGAGACAGCAGCTGAAAAGATTGCTTCAAGGATACAGTCACCCAGAGAAACATGGTCCTTGAATATGGTATACCTGTGGAAACATAAGTGGTACATTTAAAAGCAGATAGAAGACAGCCACCAAAACACGTTAGGGTCGAGGAGAGCAGAATCCCTGATGACAGCTTTACCATTTCTTTAATACAATCTTGTCGTGCCGTGTTCCTGTCTGGGCAGCAATGAGCTTCTTCAGATCTCCAATTGTATCCTCAGAGCTTGAAATATGGGGGTTAAGGAGGGAGCAGTGTGATGCCACAGAATATATTCCTTGTTAAATCTATCAGCAAAGCTCTCTTCTACAAACGTGGTTTAATTGAGCTGGGATTGTTTTTGACACTTCTGAAACATCCTCAGAGTGGAAACAAACTGGAGGGCCTACAGTGAAGCAGCAGCAGTGACTGAATTTGAAGAGTTTTGCTCTGACAACAGCTCAAAACTACACTTACATGTAAAATCTAAGTTTGTCTCAACTGAACAACTCCAGGTTAGCTGCACATGGACCCAGATATTACACACGTGGGATGACATATTAATTCGGCGTTGTCTCCGCACTTTCAGTTAAGGATACTTGCACTTGACCCGGACTTTCTTGCCCAGGCGATCGTTGCAAACAACCTCGATCATCTTCGTATCCTATCAACTGAAAAACAGAGACAGCGTTAGCATAACGTGTTAGTGCTGATCCTATCCAAACCATTCTACTATACTGGGCCGTGATAATCGTACATGTTGATAGAAAGTATTACTTATGGTCATTTACTGTATGCCACATTGAAGAAGCAAATCCTTTAACACGGTTTAAATCAGGCAGGTTGTTGTGCTTAAAGTTAGCTAACATTAGCTAACAGCGTCATGTATTGTCCAGATCAATGTGTCCAATGTTAACGCGTTAACCAATATTCTGTCTGGAAAATGCCAAGCATTCCTTAATATCTATTACAATCTGGTGAACATGAGATTCCTACCTTAAGATACACAGTAGAAATATCGCGTTTTTCTTGATATTTTCTGGCACGCTCTCGATACTACTTACCGTAAAGCTGGTTTAATTTACGTATTAGTCTCTTGACCAATAAAATGGACATATGATTGATTGACAGTCTCGACAAGCCTATAATGGGACAGAGAACTGTATTGGGGCGGACCTGAGTCTAAAAACAACTCGTACCGTAAATACGTTGATAACTGTCGTAATTTGCCTAGCTGCAGTTCATACTGTTACATCGCAGCTACACTGAAATTAAATTTGAAAACACTGCTAAAAATGGCAGACGAGGAGAAGCTACCGCCTGGATGGGAGAAGAGAATGAGCCGCAGTTCAGGTAATAAAACAGAAGCCAGGAGAGGCCAGATGTAATAACTAGCCAGCTAAATGGCGCTATGGGAGCTATCTAGTATATTTAGCTTACTAACGCTAGCTAGCAGCTCCAGTATAGTGGTTTACTGAAGGAGAATAAAGAAGGAGCTTTAAGTTAAAGGAGGAGAGTGTGAAGATCAAGATACACATCTCAGCGCAATATCTGTGTTTTCTTAAATGTGGTGCTTGGCTTTTACTAAATATGTTGTTTTATAATCGCGCCAGAGCTGGTTCATTCAACCTGCAGGGCCTTCAATGACGTCATGGTGCCCCAGCGCGTTACATGCGGGCTGAGTTTCTCACACTTTTACAGGACTATACAAACGTTTTCAAACATATTGTGTAGATTTTTAAAGAAAAAAAGTTCACACAACCCCTGTGGCAAACTTTGAATGGCCTATCTTCAAATGAGGACTGCAGCTGACAACTGTTTTAATTATCTCTTATCAAATTTGTTAATCATGAAAAACATTGAAGAAAATGCCCATGGCAGTTTCCCAGATCACAAGGTCAAGTATTTTTGTTTTGTCTGACCAACAGTCCAAAACCCAAAAATATTCACTTCACTCTGTTATACAGGGTTATTCGAAAAGAATGAACCGATTTCCTTATGCAATATTTTATTAAGGAAAAGTAATACAAAACTCCAGCACAAGTATTCTACTCACAATCAACTTTTATTTCTTGTCTTACAAGTGTTCAATGTAGCCACCACCTGCAGCACGGGCAACATCAATGCGATAAGAGTGAATAACCCTGTACAACAGATCATCCTCATAGCGGAGAAAGTGGAGTCAGCAAACGTGATCTTTTAATTACAGTGATTTATGGACACATAAATCAAGCTGTGTTCAGACAACACAGAGGGAATGTTTGATGCAACCTGATTGCTTATAGGTCAGTTGGGAGCTTAAGGTTGTTTTCAACTGCAATAGAAAGCTCTGGTAGGCTCACTGTAGCTAAAGAATCATAAGAAGTTGGTGTACACAAGACAGAGCTAAAATGAGGATGAACTTTGGACTCGCATGCAGCAGATGGTCAGATGAATTAAAATGCTGCTGAACATTTCTAATATGTGTAAACTAAGAAATTGTTTGCTAACACAATTAGGGAGAAACCAAGGAAATAAATGTTTGTCCTGAATCCAGTACCTCAGTTTAGGCTATTCTTTGTTCTGCATTTAAACTCTGTACATCCATCCAGAGTTTGCTGCGGCAGCCTGCCATGAATGAATGAATGAATGAATGATTGCAGAATGCCTGAATCTCATACACTCACTAGCCACTTTATTAGGTACACCTGTCCAATTGTATGCACTCCAATGCAATACACATCTGTGTTTATGAAGCTCAAAATGTTTGTGAGTGCCATATCAGCTTTACAGTGTGATAATATGTCAGTGTTGTCTTTGTCCATCTGTTCCTTTGCCTCTTTTATGCAAAAAATGAATGAATGAATGAATTAACAAATTTAACTTTAAGTGATCTCTTTTTGCCCTCTAGGCAAAGTGTACTACTTCAACCATATCACCAATGCTAGCCAGTGGGAACGTCCGGTGGGAGATGGCCGTGGAGAGCCAGATAAGGTTATTGTGTAATGGTTTTAACATATTATGATAAGAACAAGAAACACTTAATATACAGCACTTTTCAAAACCACAGTGAGAAAGTCCTTTACTACGTTAAAAAGGACTGAATTAGTGATTAAAATTCCCAGTGGGTGGACGAGGCCTTATGAAGCTCTCGGGCTTCCTGCCAAAAAAAGAGTTAAAGCTTCATTACATGTGACTCAACAAGAACAGCGCCACCTGGTGGTTTGCAGAAATTAGAGCAGCACTTTCAGAAAGGATGGAATAATGCCCTGCTGATTTCATACTGTAGATCAAGTCACGTGTGTGTAGAGAGAGAGTCTTTGGAAGGCTGTGTTTTGTTTCCATATGTAATCCCTTTGCTGTTTGTGCACACCCTGTTGTCGAGTGGTCGACCCATATGGGTTTCTCAGTGGTTGATGCTGTCAGTCTTTAGAGAGCAGCGAGGCTGATGGCCAATATATAATGCTGATGTCATGTTTCTCCCCTTTTTACATTAGATGCAACAATTTCATAATAACAATTGAGATACAAATTTGCCTAATATATAAATATATGAATATATTTGAGTTATTTCAAGTATTTTAAAAAACTGGAGCACCATCTCTGTTTGCTACACTGCACTACCCTTATAATTTGAATTGAAAACAATGTCTACAAGTAATTAAAAATGTGGATTCTGTTTAAAAAAAATTCTGACAAGGCTGACTGTCTGTCTGTAGACATCTTTTTGTTAATAAGCCTCATGAGCTTAGACATCAGCGACTATCTAAAAATTCCAAATATTGGCTGGATTAATCAGCCAACTGATTAATTGCTACTGTTGACATTGCATTTTAAAGCGGCATGCTGGATTATTCTATCATTATTTGATGTTTGACAACTCTGGGATCTGCACAACACTATAAAGTTTTGTGGGTATAAGCAAAGTTTGGCTGCAGCATCAGTTTGTAGAGACTAGTGAGTCAGCAAGGTATAAGGGATCTAAATCAGTTGACCAGTCTTAGTGATTCTGGGGTGTTTATCACTTTTTTTCCCACTCGCTCAGGTGCGCTGCTCACATCTCTTGGTGAAACATAATCAGTCACGTCGTCCATCTTCATGGCGGGAACAGAACATCACACGAACTAAAGACGAGGCCCTGGAGCTCATTCAGAGTAAGTAAGGCACAGTGGTTGGGAAGTGGTTCAAAGAAGTCTGATAGCTGAGTGTAATGTTTTCTCTTTCTTGTGCAGAGTACATAGAACAGATCAAATCTGGAGAGGAGAAATTTGAGTCCCTGGCTTCTCAGTTCAGTGACTGCAGCTCAGCTAAGAACGGTGGAGACCTGGGATTGTTTGGCAGAGGTACATGGTTGAAGTGATCCCACACATATATATATACTACACTGGGCAAATTGGGAAATATTGAGAAACTGACATATTGTTGGTTTTGGCCTTTTCATGAAATTGTCATCGTAGCAAAAATACAGCCGACTATTACCAGACTCCTTTAGCGTTCAGTTGTTCCCATCGACTGTAAAAGTGAAGTAACGCCACCCTGACTCATTCGCTGGTTGGAGTATAGGTAAGATATCCCACCTCCTTCATGTTAGCTTTTAGGACATGAGCCATTCTAAAACCTAAAAGTACAAATCAAATACAATCTTCCCAGACATAAGTTCTGTGGTATTTTGGTAGATATTATCACACTGTGGTCATTTTTTGATAAGTTTGTCTGTCACCCCACTTGTGGTCGTTATTGTTCAGAATATGGTAGCAAAAAAAGCAAGATGGCAACCGCTATATTCACAATATTTTGGTTTGATTTTTGCATAGTGAGGGAGGTGGTGGTGCCATGTCCATCATATATATGTCAGTGGTTGTTCCCAGCACTTGAGCAGTCCCACTAGGATCAGTGTTATTATTAGAAATCTGCATAATGTTTAGAGATTGAAAAGATTGCATGTTGAATATGTTTTTGAGCAGGAAGATTTATTGGTTATATTTGGTTAATGAGCTGTTTTGTAAAGGTCTATTTCCAGAAGTCAGTGGTGGTGAGATAACTCGGCTGCCATTAGTCAGTGTCGCTAAAATGACACTGCACTTCAGCTGAAAATGAAACCCAGTAAAATTATTACATTAAACAGAGTTTATGTACACGTTCTATGAATTTTTGTTTTTAATGTGAAAAGGTGCCTCATTGCTTTAGCAGCCAGTGTCTGTGTTTCTGTTTTAGGTCAAATGCAGAAGCCTTTTGAAGACGCCTCCTTTGCTCTTAAAGTGGGAGACATGAGTGGCCCCGTTTTTTCTGAGTCCGGAGTTCACATCATTCTACGTACTGGTTGAAAGGAAGAAGCCACACACTTTACTTTCTGCCTATGTCTTCTCTCTCACACACACACACACACACACACACACACACACACACACACACACACACACACACATAGACCCACAATAGTCCAACCCATCCAGACCTGTGATATATTTTAAAGACACACCACAGAGTGAACAATGCTTATGGACTGAATCACATTATTAAACATATTATATTAAACATTAATTATACTGAACATCAAGGAGTACTGCAGATTATTCCGGTAAGACCTCAAGCTTTTCTTAACCATGGCAATACCATTATACACAAACATGAGTGCCTGTGACTCTGTTGAAATGCGCTGGAAACAGTTTCACATGATGAGCAAAGTTTGAGAATGCATCTGCAAAAGCTAGTTTTTGTCTTTGATGAGACCACTACCGTATGTTTTCCTGTAACATTTTCTGTTTCTGCTGTTTGTGTGTCAGAGCAGCTTCTCCACCTGTATTATTGTTTTGGTTTCATAGGATGTTTATGATTCCTTTGAGAAAGCACTGTTGTTTTGGTTTTGTTTTTTTTACATTGGACATTGATAAATTGATTTCATCCCTTGCAAATATTCAGAAAGAGAATAATTTTTTTTTTCATATGCCACTTTTAAAAGTATATTTGAAACTCTTGGATATGCAAAGATGGCACAGTTGAAAACTTCAAGGTTTTAACAATCAGCTCTGTTGGTGTTAAAAGCCTCAAGTTTCAGATGAACTGTTACACTGTCTTGTCACTGGGGCTTTTCTTCTGTCAATAAAAAAAAACTCTGTTTTGTAAGTTTTGCCTAATTCCTCTTTGTTTCCTCGTTGAATGTTGCTACAGATCTGTGAGTGCATGTTTAAGGGAAAATTAACTGATGCACATGTAAAAAGACCTGCAGCTGGAGGAGGAAAATAATTATTACAAAGAATTGATTGGACTGTTGGACTCTTTTGATAAATAAACACAAGTGAAATGAACGAATGCTAAAGGTCAAGCACTGTGTACACACCCACTCTCTCCACTTCAAGCTCTATCAGGTGTTTCACTTATTAACCAGTCAGTTTCTGCTATGGCCTATAAACTTTAAAAACACCCTCCCTGCCGTCAGTTGTCATTTCAGTGCTGCCGATTGCAGCCCCACTCTATACCATTCAACTCCTGTTCATCAGATCAGTTTTCCAAAGATCAGTATCAGGATCACCAGATTCCTGCTCCAGCATCACCATCAGCATCACCACGCGCCTCCATCACGAGTCTTTCACCATCATCGGACTCCAACTCGTAAGCATCATGTCACCGTACTTCTCTTGTTTCCTGACTGACTCATTAGTCTCCTGCTGTCTTTCATCCTTTCCGTTCTCGTCATCCATCTCTGTCCTCCACCACCACCAGTCTATACTCCAGGGAATTATTCCCTGTTCCATGCAGGGGTGGTTCTCTCACTTCTAAAGCTGGAGTTTATGCACCACATTCTTTATTCTCTGTTCATACATTTTAAGTCACTGACACTGATAAATGCAGTGAGGAGATTGTATTTCTTTCTGTATTAATACTTTTTCAATGCCAATTCTATATTTTTAAGTGCAGAATTTTCAATGGCAGTGTTTTCTTGTTTAGTTCTGGGTTTACTTCAATGTCAGCTTTTACTTTTCAAGTTTAAAGTCATCATTCTGGCTCCATACATATCCAGCTGTGGTGAATTTTCAACAGATTGTTGTGTTTGATCTGGCAGGTGTGGTGCAAAATTTTCCCACAGTTTATAATGCCAAAGTTAGGCAGCTTGTCCTGGCATGCTTATCAGGGCATGCAGCTATTTGCCTGTTATTCTCTCACCTCCCTGGCTAAACTGGCTAATTGCCAGTTTGTTGTTGTACCTTCTCTCTGGTGCCACTCCCTGGGTTTTATACCTCTGTTACTCTATGGACTCTGCAACAGACTCCTGTCAAGGACTCATTGCTTTTATTAATTAATGGTTCGTTTTGTTTCCATGTTCTGTTTTGCAGTTTCATTTCTTCCTGTTTAAGTAAATTTTGACTTATTGTGTATTTTCTAGCGTTGACCGCCCTCCGCTGTTTTTCTGCTGCAAGTTTCTCTTAGTTTTTGCCTGTGTTCATTTTATCTTATACTTTGTTTTAGCACTCTCAGCTGTGTTACCTCTGTTATTCAACACACTATTCTTAGGCCAGACTTCACTCATGTCATGGTAATTTTGTCTTTTTTCATCTTTAGACTCTAGGTCGAAATAGGTCTGTGTGTTTATGTAAAAGAATAAAACAAAAGGGTGTTTCTCTGTATAACCCTTCAGTACAGTGTTACAAGACGTTCTTCAGCTCGATCAGAATGTGGTTTGCCCTATTTTTTTATTACATTTCCTCAGAGTATTTTTTTTAAATACAACCCTGTTTGATTTTACCTGCAGATTTGAGAGTCTCTCGAGAGTCACACCACGTTTAGAGTTGACATTTTCCTCATCTCCATCAAGATACACAAAGCAGAAGTATTTGAGAAACCCCCGCTGAGAAAGGACAAGGTAATAAATTCTTTTGGGTTTTTCTAATAAACATAATATAACTCATGGCCAGGTCATTTAATAGCTACATACTAGCTACATTGTGTCACATACAAATAGTGGTCTGTAGTAATTCTGGTCATTTTAGATTTATTTACCTGGCTTTGAGCTATGCATAGCTGAGAATTGTGCTGGTATAACAAGTCCAATGAAAACTGATGAAATAATGTGGGTCGTGCATTAAAGTAATGACAAATGACAAAAAGGTCAAAACTCCAGCAACACTTGCAGTGTTTAGATCATCTTTATGGGACGACCGAAGTGTTTTGGCTTTGGCCTACATCAGAGTCTGAAATGAAATTAAATGAAATTCCAGAAAGGTGTTAATGTTTTTCTTCTTATTATTATTATATTAATGTGTAAACTGAAGAAGGTGGAAGGTGGGAATCAGCCTGCAGTGCATATGGCAGTGAGTGAATGGTTGACAGCACCTTAATTATCAATTAAAACTGAGATCTCAAGAGTCAAAAATTGGGTTATCTGTTTACAATTTGAGAGAGAGGCTTGTGGCTACATTAAAGGGTATTATACTGTATGTGTGTGAAGAGTTAAAATTTCAGTGGGACTGACAGTAATTTAGATTTTTTCTGGTCTAAAAAAAACAAAAACTACAATATGTAAAGGCCATCACCTTTGACTTTGACCGAACATTGTTATTTTCAGTGATAATCGTGTAATACAGCTGAATTGGTATTGATTTATGTATCTTCTCTCTACAGCTGTCTGAAATATTCTCTCTGACTTCAGCCATGCTCTCCTTTTCACTTCCATCCCCCCTCTACCTGAGTCTCCTCCTATTTCTGTTATACCACTCCCCTGTTCTCTCCTGTAAGACTGGGACACGCAGCGAATGTGAGTCCGCTGCCTTTGTACCAGGCTACAACTTGGTGGGTGAGGGCTTTGATGTCGTCACCATGCAGCGGAAAGGAGCCTTCATGATTGATTTCATACCAAAAGACAACTGTACTCTCTGTTCCAACCCTTTTCAAGACAACAAGCTGCAGAAAGTAATTCACATCAGTGTTCTGCATTATCTCACAAATATTGGCACACGCAAACTGTAAATGGACTTTTGATCATATTTTTCTCACCCTTATTTTCAGCTCCCTTCCTCTGGAACTGACTGGCGTGCATCCAATCAGTGCAAGGAGTACAACAGTAAACACACAGCTGTTAGGTATGCTGCAATAAAATATTATCTTTGCCACAGTTGAACCATATATGTCAGCCATATATCATATTTTAACCATTTTACTAATGCTCCAAGACAGATTAGTAAATACCTCTAGTGATGTTTCCTTTTTCAGAGGGAACCATAAGTAAACATTAGAGAAATGTTTACTTGCGGGCCCATTATGATTAAAATTCTTCTCATCAGATACTTGAGGTTCAATTAAACTTTTGCTATATGTCTCCTTTTACTGTTGCTATACAATTAAAGCAACTGATCTTGTCAGGTAAAATGATTGCTATCTGTAGCAGAGAACAGACTCGATGGTTACTGTGTAGAACTGTATCAGCAGCTCCTGGGGAAGGTTGAACTTCCTGAGCCTGTCACAGCTTCTTGTGACATCCTCTGCTGTGCCTTCTTGGTGATGATGCTGATGTTGGTCGTCTACTTCAGGTCCTGGGAGATAGTGGAGCCCAGGAACTTGTAGGACTTTACTGCTGATACAGTGCTGCTGAGTATGGTGAGGGGGGGGGGGCTCCTCCTGAAGTCCACTGTCATCTTCACTGTTCAGACAGCTCCAGGTTGTTGTGACCTCACCACAGGGCCAACCATTCAACTTCCTGTCTGTACGTGGACTAGCAATCTACTGACAGATGGGGACAGGCACAGTGAGCTTGGTCAGTTTAGAGTGGAGGACGTCTGGGATGATGGCGCTAAATTCCAAGGTGAAGTCTGCAAAGAAGACCCATACATAGGTCCCTGGGGAGTCGAGGTGTTCCAGGATGTAATGCAGTGCCCTGTTGACTGCATCGTCCACTAACCTGTTTGTCCAGTAGGCAAACTGCACGGGGTCCAGCAGTGGGTCTGTGATGTCCTTCACATGGGTCAGCACCAGTCTATCAAAGGACTTCATGACCACATGTCAGGGTGACAGGTCTGTGGTCGTTCAGTTCACGGATGGAGGGTTTCTTGGGAACCCATATGATAGTGGAGTGTTTGAAGCAGGAGGGGACTTCAGCTCCAGTGATTTGCTGAAAATCTGTGTGAAGACGAGGGCCAGCTGGACAACACAGACTTTCAGACAGGAGGGAATCACACCGTCTGGACCTGGTGCCTTTCTGATCTTTAGTCTCTAAAAGTGGCCATGCACATCTTTTTAACAAATTGTCAGAGGCGGGGTTCCAGAGAGGGTGGTTGTAGGGGGATCAGCTGTCTATAAAAGATTCCAAAACATCCCAGTAATGG